TAAGTCTTTAAAGCAGTTCTTTGGAACCTTTGACCTTGTACTAAACCTTCCAGAATCTTCTGTATCCCATTCTTACAACTGATCTGGTATCACTATAGCCGAAACCAATACTGGCAATCAGAACATATCATTAAACTGCTATGCTCTTATAGAGTTTACTCCAACCCCGGTACTAACTTCATAATATATATCCTTACTACTTTGGTATTCAATTCAAGTTCCATCAAGCTGCCATTTCAGATAGCTCAGAAAGGTAGATTGAAACTATATACCTCTGGTTTATATGTTTGCTGGCATGTATCCTTTTTCTCTGGAACCTGAAAATTCTGGCAGCCTGGTTGGTTCATTTGGTCCCTCCTCAAAGACCAGCATATTTGCCCGGTTTTACAAGTTCTAGCTCCATTTTATAAGTTTAGTCTTTATACTAGTACTGTCAAAAGCTCAGATTACCTCTTTACTCAGATCTTCCAAGTGGGCTTCCATCTTTCTTCTATTGGTTCCTATAATTTACATAGCCATAAGGACTTATTGTAGGTTTGCACCATCTGGTACTGGTTTGCATTTCTTCATATAACCACAGACCTTGTCCCAAAGAACAATGTCATGTAATTGTTATACAAATGCCATGTAACCTGTCAGTCATGCTGATGTGACATAGATTACAGGTGTCTTATCCCAACCAATTGTGAGAAACAGTTAACTATAACATAAAAAGGATTTTTAAATTTTCTGTTGACACTAGAATTTGAACTCTGGACCTGCCACTTGGAGGTTAACAACCTGACTACTTCACTAGGTTGCCATACCCCTATGTAGCCAGTTATATACTCATCAGATAGTTTAATATAAATATATATTTATATAAATATATATCTAATAAAAGTATTAATAAAAAGTTAAAGAACCAAAGAGATCATCTTAACATCAAAAAAAAATATAAAAAAATATACTTTTATATATAATAAAGTTTACTTAGATAAGTTAAAATTTACTTAAATAATACAAAACAAAATTTAATTGGTTAATTCTTTTTAAAAAATTAATTGATAATCTGCCAATTATCTGAACAAAGATTATAATATAATATGATATACTGTAAATCAACTATATAATTTATTATAAACTGAAATATAGCATATACTTATTTAAAACTTTTTTAATACTAAGTTAACAGTTCAAATTGATTAATTAAAAGTTGTAAAGCTCACTAAGATGCATATAATAATGGTTAGATTATTCAAATCAGTCTAGTAAATACTAAGATATTGTCAAAAAATGATTAGCAAACTATATAAAATTCTATATAAACAGATTATTGTTTATATAGAAATTTACATAGTTGACCAATTATTTTTAACAATATCTAACCATTATTAGATGTGACTTAGTGAGCTTTACAACTTTTAATTAATCAACTTGAATTGTTAACATAGTATCAAAAAAAGTTTTAGATAAATGCATGCTGCATTTTAGTCTATAATAAATTATATAATAATCTGCATTATATTATACTATGATCTTTATTTAAATGACTAGCAGATTATCAATTAAAGTTTTTATCTTTAGAAAGTGACATTTTATTTAAGTTTTTATAGAATATAAGTACCTTTAGAAGCTTTCTTATATTAGAGTTATAACTAACTACACATGCACTTTTAGTATCTAATTTAAATAATCTATCTATATATTACTATATAGATTTTATACTAGATACTATATTTGTAAGCCAACTATAAATTTTGGCTATTTAAATCCTCTATATATGCAATCTTCTTGTATTATAAGAACATCTTAGAGTACTGTTTATTCAAGTTTCTAATAATAGTTGATATTTTTAGAATTATTTTATTCTTGACAAAAGACTTATTAGAGCCTATTATATCTCATATATGTTAATTTAGTTATATGCAATGCACTATAGTTATCTAATACTTATAGTTATAGAAGTTATCTATTTAACTATTACATTAAACTATTTTTATTTTTATAAAGTTTATTAGAATTTTAGTACTTATTTTTCTGATATCTTTTTTATTATTCTTTACTAACTATAACTTAAAACTAACTGATTTTTTAGATTTCCAATTTAGATAATTTAATATAATATATCTTAGTATTCTTTTCTTCTAATGATTTTGATAACTTTATTGATAATATGCTTCTTTATATATCTTTATTATCTAGTTTATCTTTTAATTCTTATAAAGCATTTCATAAACTTTAACTAGTCTAATATAGTTAACTCTAGCTATACTGAACTGCATATTTTAGAAGGTTTTGTTCAGTATAGAGTGAGTTCATTATATAAAGATTGCTCTTTTTATACTGAAAAGTTCAGTAAATATAACCAACCAATAGAAGCATGTTCACGTAATTAAGATCATAAAAAATTTTTTTTATTTTATACAATATAGTCAAATGTATAACCTTATTAAACGCATACTAACCTTTAGCTCCAACCATATAAAGTATTTAATAAAATACCCTTATACTCTAAATGCATATTCTTAAAAATTTTGCCTATAGTTCCAAGAGAGATGCATTTACAGAGAGTTAACTGTATATTATTTTTTAAAGACATTATTTTTACTGTATTATAAAATAATTAATGATATATTAATAATAAAGAAATTGCATTTTAATTAGCATGCTAATTAATTGTTTATTCTTTGATCAGAGTACTTTAACAAAAGAGTTTGATTTCATCAATATTATGCTTTAACATTTTGATTATGTATATATACAGTATAAAGATCATATTTAAGATATGTATCTAGGTTTATAATCTCACTTTAGTTTGGTAAGTATAATAATAATTAACCTAATTTATATGCCTATGATTATTTTTTTTATGATAATTTAAATAATGCATAATTTTATAGTAGATAGATTTATGGCTTCAATAATGGGTGGATGCTGTAGTACTCTTTTCTTCTCATATATTTAATAAAAAAAAATATAACTGTGCAATGCACAGATTGCTGAACCAAGACAAAGTATAATATATAAAATATGTACATACATAATGATTCTATAAGATAAAAAATGAAACCTATTTTTAAAAGGTTTTTTTTTTTACTTTCTTTTACTCATTATTCTAAAAATAGTAGCATAGATTAACTTGTTTGAGATTATTAATAATATTTAGTCAAACCCGCTTGTAAAGCTTTCTTAAAATTCTAACTTCTTCTTTAACTTTGCCAAACTTTGGATCTTGTTCATATAAAAACTTTAACATTTTATTTACATAATTTTCTGCCTCTGTATAAGTGATTTTTTCTTCAATAGATTCTTCCTCAATTTCTTCCTCTTTGTCCATATTCTCTTCTTTATCTTCATTTTCAACTATCTTCAAGATTTCCTCTTCAGTAAGGCCGCTTTTAATTTCATCATCCTCAGCATGAATATATTCATTTACAATAAGGATGTCAAGAGATTTATTTGTTAGTAAGTGACCAATTAACTCTGAAATGTTTGATTCATCATCCATGCTGCTAATTTTTTTTTTAATATTTAGAAATTAAATAAAAATTTATTTAAGTATATATGTATACAAATTCAGAATCATTGATTATACTCTATATATATAATACTAATTATATCTATTTTGGTTAAGTTCAGTAAGTTCTTTAGGGTTTTTTTGTGAAAGAATACCAGTTTTTAGCCAGCAGTATCTAATAGTATTTGGTAATATCATAGACTATGCTTTGGCTAAATTAGTTATAGCATTATAAATACTATATAAAGCCATTTCTTTTACTACTCTATTTTGTACATAATCATATGTATTAATCTGGTTTTGGATAAAAAAGCTTTTATAGTGACACTTGAACAAATAGATAATTCCTGCATTGCAAAGTTAGAGAACCAGAATTGTATGTGCTAAAAGAAATTCTACTCATACACATTTTAGTTTTTGCTTTTGTTTTATCAAGAACAATGTGTACTGATGCTTGGTTAACTAAAAGTATAATTTTTCGATTTCTTTGGTTCATTTAATAGTTAAGCTTGAGAAGAAAATCATTAAAGATAGTCATTTGCATCCAAGCCTTTTTGTTTCAATAATAATGAATAAGAAGATTTTTATAGTTAATATTTCGCAAGGCATGTGGTTTTTGAGAAGTGTGAATAAGGGCAAGTTTCATTTTTTTAGTTCCATTCACATTTGTAACACATAATATTGACACATGTATCTTTTATTTTTTGTACCCTGCCAATTTTGAATAAGCCAAAGTGCAAGAAGGTTCTATTTTCTAGTAAAGCCCAGTTTTATCTGTGTTTCAAATATCTTTAAGGTTATAAGACTGAAGTAAATTTTGTAAAACAAGCCAGTCTCTTTTTATTTCCTCTGAAGAAGGCATACTTGCAGATTCACCCTCTTGTTTAAACTGATGAAGCCTATGCTGTTTTTTAAATCCAGTAAACCAACCATCTGAATAGTGAAAATCATTAATAAAAAAATAATCTGCAAAAAACTTTGCCTTTTCCTTGAGTATATGCCTATCAATATCTTAAAACTATTAAGCACATTATTAACCTAGAGACCAAGAGCTTCTTCAATTTTTGGCTATTTTGGCTTACAAAATTTTTTTATTTTACCTTTTTCTTCAATTGTAATGGCTAACTAACATTCTTTTTTTTTTTAGAATATCTGTTATTGTTAACTTTCTGACATTATACTTATTTGCAAGATCTATATTTTTAATATTTTGATTCATTTCTTTTTTCTTACAAATATCATATTTTTGCACAGCAGAAAAAATGACTTTTTTTTTTTATTAATATAATACTAATATAAGGTATAAATGCCTTTGATTTAAAAGACTTTCAATATAAGAAAAGTTTTATAAGTTTCAATTAAGAGTTTTATAATAAAAGCCTATAATATAAAAAAATTTTAATATTTGAAAGATTTTGACTAGTTTCAGAAACTTTCTTATATCAAGGGTCAATTGTAAATACATATAAATAAGTATAAACAATGCTACATGCATAGTTATTTATAGCCAAGCAACTTACACTGCATACTAAACTTATTTTGGTTATTCAAAAAAAATAAACAGGATTAGATTAACTATTGCACCAGTCAAAATTAAGCATAGGTATAAATTTTGGCTTGAGCAACTAATATATAGAAAATTTTAGAAGATTAAATAGGAATAGGCCTGATCTGTTTGTAATATGCCATAATTTATAAATAAAAATTAGAACAATAGTGATTGTTAAAATTCTTTTTTTGAATTATGGCAGAGGTATATTTAATATTTGTTTATTAGACTTCTTTTTTTATTTATTTATTTTTTTTTTTTAAATATTAAGGTGAGTACTTGTGACACAGGATTTTATTGATAGTACATTCAGCTAATGGTTGCATTACAACCATAAGGGGCAACTATGAAAAGAGTGTACAACTAGCCACTTGTACAACTTTAGTCATTGTCTAATTTAAGTAATCCGCCCAAAGGTTTTACACTAGCTGCCATACCTGGAACCCACTTGTAGGTTCCCTATTTAACCACTTTGTTCCCATATCCACCTACCTATCTACACTTACCAAGATGCTCTGGTCGATACTGGTTCAAATATGCCATGATCACTAAGTCTTTAAAGTGGTTCACTCACATGAGGAACCTTTGACCTTGTACTAAACCTTCCAGAATCTTCTGTATC